ACAAAATATCTCCATCAGTTGCCATCAGTGGCTTCTCTAATTCTCTTTTTTTTTTTTGTTTATTGCAGTAACATTGGTTTATAATATTGTAAAAGTTTCAGGTGTACATCATTGTACTTCTATTTCTGCATAGATTACATCTACAGTGGCTGCAGAGGATGAGAATAGTTTCTGGTACAAGAAGGCTCGGGCAATGTATGTCTACCATGAGAGGCTTAGAGAATCTTGGATGCATAGTGGGAGGCTGCTAAAGCCTCTATGGTAAAGGGGTGTGTGAAGAGAGACTCTAATGGAGGGATTGTTATTTTGACAAATTCAAGAGCCATTGGTTTCCCCATTCAAAGTCAGTCACTTTTAAGTGTTGTGTGAATAAGCAGGCAGATCTGATAAATATGCAACAGCTGGGAAAGCTGTGGCTTACAGAATATGCCCATGATATGGGTTCTAACAGTGACTTGTCACCCTCTCAACTCACAGGCCCCCATCATTGTCTCAGGGAAATTTTCCAAAGTGGAATGTGTAAATTTCCAAAGATGTTTCCAAGTAAGCAGGCACAAGTAGGCTTGAGTTGGGAAATGAGCTGGAAATGGTCTATGGATAATAATGGAAAGTAATGATGCTGATGCACATGAATGAGGATGTCCCCAGACAGATCCCACTTAGGAGACACCTTTTTGTTTCAGAACCACAGAATTTCCAAAGCTGCCAGAAAGGCCTGTTGAGGACTGAATTATTCTTCTCAGTCCTTCAATTCATCCCGAGACGGATCCCACAGTGCTAGAAAGAAGTACTGAATGCATAAAAATCAGGGATCAAGAGAGTTTAACATTCTCCTGGCATATGAAAGTGATTCTGTTACTAATTTTCCATTAATTACATAAATATACAATATTTTAGGTATACTTGTGAATTTTCACAAATGTATACTAATACTGCCATCACAAGATGGAAAACATGACATCACCAAGAACATTCTTGTGGTGCCCATTTGATTGAAACCTTTGCGATACATAAGTTAACACTAAAAACAATGGAAAAGATTAATGCCTTCTTTTTCTCTTTGTTAAACCTTGTAGCTGTTACATTGTTTTGCACTTTTGCACAAAATGTGTTGGACACCTAAGCATATGGGAATGAAACCTATGAACAGCAAAATGGGCTACCGGGCTTTGAGGATCATTGAAACTAAAGACTTCCAGCTACTCCTGTGATAAAAAGAAACTGTTTCCAAGTTCTCCTTTTATATTCAATTAGGATATCACTCAAAATGATACCCTCTCCCTGCAGCTCACCTCAATCATTCATTGGATGATTGCCTCTAAACACCCATAGCTCTTTCTGGGGTTTCCACTAGGAGATCACAGTGGACTCACACAGATATCATTCCACTCATAGAACACACTCAGGATGAGCTGGAACAGTGCAGATAAGTGTAACTGTTTCTCTAAATGGGAGGAATTCCATGGTTTAATGGAGTATATATTGCACATTCATGTCTGTACAACAGCAAAATGAAAATACCAAAGGATATACATTTTAAATATTTAAAGATAAAAATCCTTTCACATAACATGAAAAAAACCCCACAAATATCTGTGGTTTAAGTCAATAAGAAATCTCGAGTCCCAGATAGTGATAATAATGACAACCTCCCTCACTCCTACCCTCACAGAAAGGATATATATTCATCTCAGCCTCCCTATTAGCTCACATTATTTTTCACTTCTCTTCAGAGCCCTTATTTCCATCTTATTAGACAAATATTTACCATTTGTTAATTATCTCTTTTCCCACAAACATATAAGCACCAGGACTGCAGCAACTTGTTTGTTTCATGCCACTATATCCAAATCCTACTGTTCCTTATTTGTGCAAAATTGTGGACCTTGACTCTATGGTGCATGGCATGTGAGAGATGTTGAAATATTAGCATCAAGAGCATTGTCTCTGAGAAAAAAATGCTTGATTGGCATAGTGGTCCTGTCTCTCTCCTTTGTTAGGTTTGTAATGTCTCACAATTTATCTAAACTCAAAAGTCTCTGTTGAGTCATAAAGGAGATATTAAAAATATTATATAGCATAGTAATAAGTGAATTTATATAATTTAACTGAGGTACTTTATGGTAAACAGTGTCTGATACATGTTAGGAAATACATCACTGTTTTGATAATAAGTAGGAAAGGCAAAAGCTGTTCCAGGGCCGGCCCCGTGGCTTAGCGGTTAAGTGCGCGCGCTCCGCTGCTGGCGGCCGGGGTTCGGATCCCGGGCGCGCACCGAGGCACCGCTTCTCCGGCCATGCTGAGGCCGCGTCCCACATACAGCAACTAGAAGGATGTGCAGCTATGACATACAACTATCTACTGGGGCTTTGGGGGGGAAAAAAAACTGTTCCAGAGGATTGGGAGCTGCCTGCATTCTCTGCAAGCCCAAGTCTCATCCTGTTGATGAGAAAAATGTCACACATCTTGTTCATGAAAGATTCAGTCACCAAAACAAAAAAACCTAAGTGTACTTTTTTTACCATACTAGTAAATATAGTAAAAGATAAAATTTCAAATCATAAAAATCACTAATATCCCCTTCGTCTTACTAAAACGACTGACTGGAACTGTCTTACAAATTAACTTTAGCTCCACTGCATTGTTTTGCCTTCTAGAAAACAATGATTATATTTACCAAAGACAAAACATTTACCAAAATAGAATTAAGTTTACTACCTCACAGAATTCAATACAGAAAATGACCATCTTCCTTGAATAGCAATTAAATCAACAAACACATGCCAAAATTTTGTGGAAGTCCTTCTGAGCATCCTGTTACTGTTATACCTCACAGTCCTTTATGGTCTGTGGTCATTCTTACTGGAATTCATTACACCCCTCTCTTTGACTACAGGTGCAATCCTGCAGGTCACTGGCAAGAGGACACTAAAAAAACTATACTTGTTAGGTTTTGGGTTAAGAATGAATGCGAAATTAGTTTCACGATAAAAATTATAATTATAAAAGACTAAAAGTTTCCCTGAGGAAAACATACCTGAATTTGTAGGCACATGATAAAATTGACTAACAATGTATAATGATTAAATGAAGAAAATTGCAAAGTATATCTGAAAATCCATAATCAAAATGAATTTTAATATATTTTCTGAGGAAATGAAAACCACAATAATATTTATTAGCATTCAATGGCTTAGAAAATGATTGATAAAATATATCAATGAAACAACTACAGAAATGTTTATTTCACAAGGAAATGCGCGGTTATAATGATATACAATCAAACATATTGAAAACATACTGAGGGAATATTTTCAGCTACAAGTAACAGGAAACACAGTCTTCCTGATATGAGAAAAGTAATTGTTCTCACATGAAAGAACTGGGTCAAGGCAGCCACTGCACAATGCAGCAGAGAAACAAACTCCCAGGTCCCTCTTTTCATGCCCCATTGTAGATGTCATGGTGAATCAGGATAACATCCTCACTAGCATAACAGCATAAGGGGTTTCCTATACACATTAGATCTTATAGAGATACAATCTAGAGAAGTGGGGAATCAGAGAATACTCCCAACCACAAAGGTCTGAATTAGGTCCCTGGTGGACAGAACAGGCCTTACAGAAAATTCTTAACTCTAATGGATCTTTAATGTGAAACTTGTGAAAACATCAGTTGAAAATACACCTTTAAGGGAATGGAAATAAAATAGTTGTTGGTTTTCAAGATAATTTTGACTAGAAGGGCAAAGAATCCAGAAAACAGGATCAAAGATGGTTTCTTCAAAGCTCCTATGTAACTGTCTCTCTCCTTGCATGGTGGTTCCAAAATATGCCTAATAACCTATTTGTTTCTGCCTTCCAAATTTCATGCGAGTGAGGCTATTGGTGAATTCCAACATGGAACCAGAGAGAAGATGGATTCTTAAAGACCTAGTTCTTCACATTACCCTCACTGACATAATGCAATAACAGGGTGACATGTCCAGCTCTAGATTTTGTTGTCCTATCACAGGCCTCTACTTAATTCAAAGTCTCTTCTCCAAATACCAGTTAGAAGGAAGGACAAAGACAAAAGGCCTAAATATGAAAATAGTAATTCACAGGAAAATATACTCTGACAAACTTGCCATACAAAAAAATTTATAAAAATTTATTCCAACTGTTTAATAGTATGGAAAATACAAACAGGCTTTTATACCCACCACCTCAAAAAAGGTGCTTTCTCAAAAAAAGGAACAATATACACAATGGATTAGGCATATCCAGGATCTGCAACACAAGACCAGTAAGGAAATCCCAACAAATACAAACTGTCATTTTTCAATGGCCCCTTAACACAGAACAATTAAAACATTATAGCAGAATTATCTCACCTCAATATTCATTTCTGAAAGTAATTAATAGAAATCCACAATCCAATGCTGCACTTTAAGAAAGAGGCTTGGTAAACACAATATATTTACAACTTTTATAACACCTCTTTCATGTTGCAAGTTTTCTAGAACGTTATACACAGATTAATTTCCATCAAGCTTTCTCATATTACTTACATTTATATTTCTTTCTGGAGGGAGATTCACATACAATGACCCAGGCCAATTGAAGTTTTTCTCATGCTGTTTACATTTAAGAGGTTTTTATCAAGTGAGTCCTTTCATACCTTCAGAAAGAACTCAGATGACAAAAGCTTTCCCACATTATCTACACTTACATGGTTTTTCCTCTAGCGTGCATTCTCACATATCTTTAAAAGTTTTCATGAGAAATAAGCACTTTCTCATTTGACTGACATTCATAGGCTTTCTCTCCAGTGTGACTTCTTTCACGTCTTTGAAGTGATCTGAGACAAGTGAATGGTTTCTCACATTCCTTACATTCACATAGTTTCTCTCTAGTATGATTTCTTTCATGTTTTCAAAGAGAACTGGAAGACATGAAGTCATTACTGCATTTTTCACATTCATATGGTTTCTCTCCACTATGAATTCTTTCATGGTTTCAAAGAGAACTAGAAGAAGTAAATACTTTACTGCATTTTTTACATTCATAGGGTTTCTCTCTTGTATGAATTCTTTCATGTCTTCGGAGAGAACTGGAAAAAGTGAATGCTTTGTTGCAATTTTTGCATTCATAGGGTTTCTCTCCAGTATGAATTCTTTCATGTAATTGAAGAGAACTTGAAAAAGTGAATGCTTTACTGCATTTTTTACATTCATAGAGTTTCTCTCCAGTATGATTTCTTTCACGTTGTCGAAGAGAACTGGAAGAAATGAATGCTTTACTGCATTTTTTACATTCATAGGGTTTCTCTCCTGTATGAATTCTTTCATGTACTTGAACATTACTGGAAAACCTGAAGGCTTTACCACATGTTTTACATTCATAGGGTTTCTCTCCAGTGTGAGTTCTTTCATGTAATTGAACATTATTGGAAAACCTGAAGGCTTTACCACATATTTTACATTCAAAGGGTTTCTCTCCACTATGAATTCTTCCATGTACTCTAAGTAAACTGGGAAAAGGGAAGGCTTTCCCACATTCCTTACATTTATAAGGTCCATCTCCAGTGTGAGTGATCATGTGTGACTGAAAGCTTGACGGATAATTAAAGGCTTTCCCACATTCCTTACATTTGTAGGGTTTCTCCCCAGTGTGACTCCTTTCATGTCTTCGAAATGCACTGGGAGTAATGAATACTTTCTCACATTCCTTACACTTATAAGGTCCATCTCCAGTGTGAAAGATCACGTGTGATCGAAGACTTGAGGGATTTGTAAAGGCTTTCCCACATTCCTTACATTCATAGGGTTTCTCTCCAGTATGAATTCTTTCATGTATTCGAAGATAACTTGAAGAAGTGAATGCTTTACAGCATTTTTTACATTCATAAAATTTATCTCCAGTATGAATTCTTTCATGTCTTCTAAGAGACTTGCAAAAAGGGAATGCTTTTCCACATTCCTTACATTTATATGGCTTCTCTCCATATTTTTGATCATCATATGCTTTCTGTTCAGTGTGACATCTAACGTGCCTTTTAAGGGATGAATGATGCATGAAGACTTTTCCACATGCACTGCATTTACATGGTGTAGCTCCTGTAGTTTTGTTGTTCAGATTAAGATTTGGAATAAGGCTGAAATTTTCTCCACATTGACTACCCTCTTCACTTTCACAGAGTCTCTCCACCATATGACATCTGTAAAAGATGAGAAGGACATTATTATTGATTTCTTTATTAATGATTATATATTTCTTATATATATTATGATTTATAGGAAAAGTTAAGGTTTTCTGCCTTGTGTGAATTCTCGGAAATTGAATATACTGAATGCTTTGGACGAGTACATCACCCCTGCTATTATGCAAACAGTGATATCCATATATAGGGCTTACTAATACTATTTCCAAGTGAACTATTTTGCAAAAACTAAATCTTTATATCACACTTCAGAAAGTATATTTTGAAAATTTTCTAAGAATAGCCAAATTTGAAACAACATTTGTTTTGTTTACATCTTTTAAAAATTTTATAACATACCAGGATTCTCATGTGAGACACTGCTTTCCATTACGAGTGAGACTCACCTTAGTTTTCTCATCTCATTTTTGTATTGATCTTCAATATCATGTTCTTTCCATGTTTTTCCTGAAATGCAGACCCAGAAAATTGATCACAAAGTATTAGAAATTATAGAAAAAATTTTAGATTCTAAGTCCTTGATGAGCTGTGACCATTTCTAGTTTATTTACCAATACCACCCCCCCTTCCACGTTCTACATCTTGGAACCATGTTGATGGGAAAGAAACATTTGTTCTCTAATTGATGAAGGGAAGGAATGTCCTCATTCTTACCTATAGAGGCCAGGTTCCTGAAGGTTTCCAACATCACATCTCTGTAGAGTTTCTTCTGTGAAGGATCCAGTAAAGCCCACTCCTCTGGGGTGAAGATCACAGCCACATCCTCAATGGCCACTGAGTCCTAAAACATCACATGTGTGTGTACAGTAGGATGTATAAGACTGACAACACTGGTTATCTACACTCCATTTGTAGGATGATTACATGTGACTCTGTCATCTCCAAACATTTATTCTTTGATGTGATCATTAAAAACTCACTCTTTTACTGTACACACTTCCTTATAAATTTAACAGCATTATGAATGCATGGAATCATTTACACATTTTTACTGTAACCAAATTAAAGCATATTTTTCTCTAATGACATGGTCTAGAGCATGCTGGGAAATGACAGAAATGCTATATACATGAAACAAATATTATCATTTTAAAGCCAGTGATTCCTTGTGAGAAAAATTATTTTATCTCCTTGTTTATTACCCACCAGTTACAGAACTCCATGAGACAGAGGATTAAGTCTACATGAGGTCTCAATGGATAAAAACAGTGAAGAACCAGAAGCCTTTTTTTCTAGTCCCATCACCAAACAGAATCCAGGAGGACTGTAGAAATCGAACTTTTTAACAAAGCCCAGTTGCCCACATTATCCTAAAGAACTCCAGGTAATCATTACAAGTAATCAGATGCAGCTGGCTGAATGTAAATATTCTTGTGGGGAAGCATTGCTTTTAACTTGTGTAATATTTATCATTGACTTGTTTCTTCCCTTCTCTTTGTATGATTTAATGGAGCTAGAAAGTTATTCAGAACTTTGAGCTCAGACTTAAGGAAGAAGGCATGACAGCTTAGACCATAAAATACTGATACTCATGTACCCCAAGGCTACCTCCCAACAATTTTAAGAACATATAGTGAGGGGCTGGCTTGGTGGCACAGTGATTAAGTTCACACATTCCACTTCGGTGGCCCAGGGTTCACTAGTTTAGATCCTGGGTGTGGACCTACTCACCGCTCATCAAGCCATGCTGAGGTGGCATCCCACATAAGAAGAGCTACAGCTTTACAACTTTGATACACAACCATGTACTGGGACTTTTGGGAGAAAAAAGAAAAAGAGGAAGATTGGCGCTGGGTGAATCTTCCTCAAAAACAAAAAAGAACACATAATGAGATAATAATATGCCATAAGCACTCTTTCTGATCAAACACTAACAGTGTACCCTGAGCCTTGGTGGCTTTGAAGGGCAGGTTACAAGCTATAATTTGCAATGGAGTTGATTGAAGTCCACAAAGCTTTGTATTTCAACAATCCCCTTATCAGGGATTATAAATTCCAGTAGGCAGGAAATGAGGAAGGACAGAGGTGAACTGAACAGTGTGATGAAACAACAGGATTACATTGTAGTCTATGGAATACGTCATACAAGAACAGCAAAATATACATTCTTCTCAAGTTCACATGGAACATTCACCAAGACAAACCACATTTTGGGACATAATGCACACATTAACAAATGTGAAAGAGGAGAAATAAAAAAAATATGCTCTCACACCACATAGGCATTCATCTAGAAGTCAATAACAGCAAGATAGTTGGAAGAACCTGAAATATATGGAGACTTAACAACATACTCCTAAATAATACATAGGATAAATGAAGAAGTCTCAAGAGAAAAAAAAAATTATTTTGAACTTAATGAAATGACAATATAACACATCAAAGGTTCTTGGATGCAGCAAAAGCAGTGCGCATAGTGGGAAATGTATGCCATGGAACAAATACACTGGACAAACCAAAGATCTTTAATCAATAATGTAAGCATTTACCTTAGGAAACAATAAAAAGAAGACCAAATTAAACCCAAATTAAGCATAATAAAAGAAATAAGACAAATTAGAACAGAAATCAATGTCATTGTGGGAAATCAATGGAGAAAATTAAAACAAAAAATCTGGTTATTTGACAAGACTAATAAAATTGACCAGGGGGCTGGTACCATGGCTTAGTGGTTAAGTGTGCACATTCCGCTACTGGCGGCCCGGGTTCGGCTCCCGGGTGCGCACTGATGCACCGCTTCTCTGGCCATGCTGAGGCTGTGTCCCACATATAGCAACTAGAAGGATGTGCAACTATGACATACAACTATCTACTGGGGCTTTGGGGAAAAGAAAAAAAAAAGGAGGAGGATTGGCAATAGATGTTAGCTCAGAGCTGGTCTTCCTCAGCAAAAAGAGGAGGATTGGCATGGATGTTAGCTCAGGGCTGATCTTCCTCACAAAAAAAATAAATAAATAAATAAATAAATAAATAAAAATTGATCATCATCTAGTCAAGATAACAAAGAAAAGATGGAAGACATAAATTACTAATATCAAAAAGGAAAGGAAAGAGAAATGAAAATAAAAAAGGATTTGATAAAATCCAACATCTATTTATGATAACATATTAGTAATAGAGGGGAATTTTCACTTCTTAAGAAGAACATCTTTATGAAATCTTTATGAATCACATTTGTTCCATATGGCATGACTGTCTCTGTGAAACATCTGAAAGAATTCACAACAAGAGAAATAACTCCTGGAATTAATAAGAGAGTACAGCAAGGTTGAAGAATACGTTAGTCTATTGCTTTTCCTATCAACCCACACAATATACAGTCAAGTGATCTTTGACAAAGAAGGAAGGCAATTCAAATGAAAGAGAAAGTCTTTTAAACAAACATTGGTGGAAATAATGGATATCCACAAGCAAACACACACAGAAAACAAATGTAGACCCGTGCCATACAGTTTTCATAAAAATTAAGTCAAAACACATCACAGATCTAAATGTAAAATGCAAAAGGAATAAACTCCTAGAAGATAACACCGGAGAATATCTAAATGACCTTGGGTTTGGAAATGAATTTTTAGATAAAAAACCGAAAAGCAAGGTCCATGAAAGAATAAAAACTAAAATTTTACTTCATTAAAATGGAAAACTCCTGCTCTGAGAAAGACAGTGTTAAGAGAATGACAACACAACTCACAAAGTAAGAGAAAACCTTTGTCAAACACTTAGATAAATAAGAATGACAACACAATTCACAAAGTAAGAGAAAACCTTTGTCAAATACTTAGATAAATGACTTGTACCTGAAATATCCAAAGAACTCTTGAAACTCTACAGTGAGAAGACAAACAACCCAATTAAAAATGGGCAAAAGATCAGAACAGACAGCTCACTGAAGAAGATATATAAATAGGAAATAAGCAATATGAAAACATGCTCCACATCATGTATCATTGGGAAAATGCAAAGAAAACAATGAGGTATCATTAAATGCTTATTAAATGGGTACAACTCTCAGAACACCAAATATTGGTGAAGATGCAAAGTTACAAAAAATCCTCATTTATTGCTGGTGGAAATGGAATTTGGTGTCTATAATGGAAGACAGAAACTTTCTTTCAAAACAAAATACACTGTTACCACAGAGAGTAAGATCCAGCAATCACACTCCTGGGTATTTTTCCAAATGAATTGAAACCTTATGTTCACACGAAACCTACACATAAATGTTTATAGGCACTTTATTCATAATTGGCAAGAGTTAGAGTTTATAGCAAGATGTCCTTCAAGAGTCGAATACACAGGGCCGGCCCTGTGGCTTGGTGGTTAAGTGCGCGCGCTGCGATGCTGGTGGCCCGGGTTCGGATCCTGGGTGCGCATCGAGGCACCACTTCTCCGTTCATCCTGAGGCCGAGTCCCGCATACAGCAACTAGAAGGATGTGCAGCTACGACATACAACTATCCACTGGGGCTTTGGGGGGAAAAATAAAATAAATAAAATCTTTAAAAAAAAAAAAAAAAGAATCAAATACACAAAAACAATCAGTGGAGTATCCATATGATGAAATACTGTTCAGTGATAAAAAGAAATGAGGTATCAAGCCATGAAAACACATGAAGGAAACTTAAAAGTATATTGCAAAGAAAAGAAGCCAGTGTGACAAGGCTATGTAGTGTATGATTCCAAGTATACGATGTTCTGGAAAAGACAAAAGCATGAGCAAGTAGAAATATCTTTGAGTGTGAAAGATTTGGGGGTTGGAGGGAGGGATTAGCACAGAGGATTTTTTTTTTTTTTTAAAGATTTATTTATTTATTTTTCCCCCCAAAGCCCCAGTAGATAGTTGTATGTCATAGCTGCACATCCTTCTAGTTGCTGCACGTGGGACGCGGCCCCAGCATGGCCAGAGAAGAGGCGCGTCGGTGCGCACCCGGGATCCGAACCCGGGCCGCCAGCAGCGGAGCGCGCGCACTTAACCGCTAAGCCACGGGGCCGGCCCAGCACAGAGGATTTTTAGGGAAGCGAAACTATACTACATGATATGGAAATGATAGATACATGTTGTTACACATTTGCCAAAACCCACACATTGTACAACACAAAGAGTCAATGCTAATGTACACTGTGCACTGTGATGCATCAATATGGGTTTGGAAATTGTAACAAATGTACCACAGTAACACAAAATGAGAAAAAGAGTGCAAACTGTGTGGATGCAGAGAGAAGGGTTATTTGGCAACTAGCTGTAAATTCTGACCAACTGTTCTGTAAACCTAAAACTGCTCAAAAAAATGAAGGCTTTCAAAAAAAAAAAAGATGAAGACAGACTCATTACATTCACCCCTGGTGACTCAAACAGGACATCTCTCATCCAACTGATTTCAATAAGCCAGTATGGTGCTCTATGAGCCTGAGACCCACAAGGGAGGTGAAACTTCCACCGAATGCCTTGTTGGAGAGCAGGGCACTGTATACTCTGAGAGGTGCCATGGTCACTCTCAGTAGCATCAGAACTCCAAGGTGGATAACGAGTGTTCTGGTGAGTTCTTGTATTGTGGACTTAGTAACGTACAGACAAGTGTTACCTTGATTTCTATTTTGGCTATCTGTGAGTCAGGAGCTTCCCAAAGTTCTTTTTCCACAAAGGCGCATCTCTCAGACAATCATCCAAGAGTTTGTGAACATATGTAAACGAGGCCAATTTTTGGCCAGTAGTACGACGACTGCCTGATGTTTGGATAGCTCTGGTGACACTTCAGTTAGATTCTTCATCAGGGATGTCCCAATTAAGGGA